TGGTTGCTGTCAGTTTGGGTACCCCAATTGGATAAAAGAGCAGAATGAAGTTTGGAATGTTGAGAGGGAGGATAAAGGATTGATACAGAATGGGGTTGCAAGAATGATGAGTAGATGCACGAGCGCCACTGCTTGCTACACCGAGCCTTCCTCGCGTAGTTTCTCTAACCACCGCTTACTATGATCTCGGAGTTCGCAGCCAGGGAACCTCACGGGACTTATGTGAGCTACGCTCTTGGTTAGGGTTTTCATACCCTCAGGCCAGGTCGTAGTTTGACCGCCCTTGACCTTTTTCTATCCGCTACCTGACTCATTAATCATCTCTCGCCTTGACAATCTATTAGGCGATATGCCTAGCATGTCTCAGCCAGGTCGATCGCTTGTTCCAGTGACCATCGATACTACCTACAACTCTACGCCTAACCTTAACAATTCTCAACCAGTTTTCCCACCGGATTCGTGAGATGCGATGCAGACAGCGGTGTTCAAACATCAAAAATCGGTTTCATTTTGATTAAAAATCATCAACATTGTTTATTCACCGTTCCCACTGGAGTAATAATCTGAGCGTGGTTGGAAGGGCGATCAATCCGACGGCTCTCTCGATTGAGATTGGACTGAAACTGACAGCGCCGTATAACATCGCAAGAAATAGGTCCCGTGATCAACTGTTTAGGACGCAATGCTTGCAGAGCATGGTTCCGATACATCTGTACAACTATCTCTTTTGATCACAATTTTTTTTAATTTAAGACGGTTTGAGAGTGTTTTTCTGGCGACTTATCGGATCCGTGATATTGTTTGCAGACGCAGTTATCTTCTGATCCAGACAATACATCAAGCGCTGGACTGCCANCCCTTATAAATCAGCTGGGACAATTCAACTGTCGGTATACATTGGAACAGTGCTTTTAAATTGACATCGATTAGTTCAGCAGGCGGGGAACGGAATGTATTCCACGAACACTGAACCTGAACCCATTTGATCAAATCCATTAAGATTCCTTTTTTTACCTCCCTTGTGTAAAATTGATCATCTCACACATTCGTTCTTTTTTCAAGAGTAACACACCAACTGACAAGATCACTCAAAGTTCAGTCCACTAAGCGTTCTGGATTAGAAATAAGTTATTCAATTAAAATTGTACACATCACAGTGCGCTAAACGTTTCACTCCCGGGGAATGCGTGCAGTTTTTCAATCAGACTTTAACCCCTACCCCCTCCCTCCGATCTACACACATCGA